AAATTGCTGGCATCAAATGGGGGTGTCATCCTTTAACTTTACTTTATGTACATAGAGGCCTAATAAGATCTATTTTAAATTGGGGCGGTCTCACTTTGCTGAACGTTGCTCCACACAAAATGACATGTCTGGACCGAGTTCAATACGCAACTATTAGAAACATCCTAGGATTAATGATATCCACACCCACCAATGTTTTACTAAGCCAAGCTGGAGAGCTACCTCTAAATTATAGACGTAAAATGGAATATTGTAAACTAATAGTAAAATCCTTCTCAAACCAATCAGATATGTTTAAAGAAGTACTGGAGAAATGATTTCTACAGGATTCCTCTCGTGATACCAACAATTCTACACAAATAAAATGTGATGACTGGCCGTACATTGCTAAACTGGCTCTAAAAAATATCTCTAACCTATCTAAAACCAAAACTTACCCACTTAGTGGATATTTAAGTTATCCTTACAACAATAGATTCACGCAGATTAACATAGACACCGAAAGATTCACACTGTTAAAACACTACCGAAGAAAATGCGGAAATTTTTACTATAATATCAAAAATAACTCTAAACTTTCCATAAATGGTATAAACAGGTTAGCGAACCATTTTATTGAATCCTTCAAGTTCTCCCTTATTCTTTTTACTGATGGCTCCATTGGACCGGATGGAGGCGCCGGTTTTGGAGTCTGTGCTCCTTCCGTGGATATTAGGATTTCCATCCCTATACCCAAATCCAATAATATCTTCCTTGTAGAGGCATACGGAATAATACATGCTATTGATACTGCTATGTCTTTGGGCAAGAAGAAAGTAGGCATCTTTACTGACTCATTAAGTGTACTGAAAAGTATTAATGCCATCGATACTTGGGGTAAGAAGCCCATGGTATGCTATGATATTATACACAAAATTCTTAAAGCCAGAGATATGGACATTGACATCACACTTGTTTGGATTCCTGGTCACTGTGGTATAGAAGGCAACGAAATGGCGGATACTCTTGCTAAGCTTGCTTCTGGTAGCACTGAAGCCCCACCTAGACACCATCTACTGGACCCATCCAGTATATGCTGGCATATGAGAAAACCTATTATAGAAGAAGGATTACAAGCATTGGAAACGGAATTTAAAGTTAAAGGCAAGGAATACAGGAAT